GCTACAGGGCTTAAGGGTCAGAGCCAAACGTGAAATTAGTTTTATGACTCTAGTGACATCTTCCCACCTCACCACAGTTCCTCGAACTTCAGTCACTGGTAAACCTGCTTCATACTTTTGCCTTGTTGCATAGCAGCCTCCTATTATTTCCTTAATGTTTTTCTTTAAATAAATTCACTTTGAAAATTGACCTCGTTCTAAGCAACACGTGTGTATATGTGTGTAAATAATTATGTATGTACTAGTGTATGTATCATTGCTAAAACTGAACGTTTTCATCCTCCTCCCCTAAGTCAACTCTTGTAACACCGGGGAGACTGGTGCCCCCTTTGAGAAGCTGTCCGTTGCCCTGCACCCCCTGCATGGCTAAGAATGCACCTTCACACGCTGGCAGTCACTACGTGGCCGCCAAGCAGGATCACTCGGGGCCAACACTGTTGTTCTTAGGGCTGTGCCTCCAAATCACCGAATCACTGAATCCTGGAGGATAAGAGAGATATCACAGAATGCAACTCCTAAGGGGCAAGGCCTTACACAACATACCCAGTCACAGCCCTAAAGATTACGGAGGCACCATTCAAAGGTATAAAGATGAATCAGATAAGTCCTTGCTCTTAAAAACAAAGGTTACAAACATAAACAACTGAAAACTAGAAGAATAAGCAAAGGGTCTGGAATCAGAGAAACTAGACTTGGTTCCACCACCAACTCGCCTTTGAACAAGCCCCTTCCTGTTTCTGAGCCCCAGTGTCCTTAAACGGAGATGATAGTATTCCTTCTTTTTACCTTTTTTTAAAATATATTTTATTGATTTTTTACAGAGAGGAAGGGAGAGAGATAGTTAGAAACATCGATGAGAGAGAAACATCGATTAGCTGCCTCCTGCACATCCCCCACCGGGGATGTGCCCGAAACCCAGGTACATGGCCTTGACCGGAATTGAACCCGGGACCCTTCAGTCCGCAGGCCGACGCTCTATCCACTGAGCCAAACCGGTTTCGGCTCTTTTTACCTTTTAAGACAACAGGAGATTCAGATCTTCTAAATGGGCGTGATATATCAAAACATCAAGTTTTGTACCTCAATTCAGTACAATTTTTGCTAATTATACCCCAATAAAGGGAGAAATGGGAGTGAAAATGCTCTGTAAAAGACCATAAAGCTATGATGTAGTGTATAAGTACTAGATAGGCAATGCCCAAACTCCTGAATAGAATATTTGCATTATGACTGCAGAATGACTCTCTCCAGTGAAAACTACCAGAAATAGCTTGGGGAGAGATTTGGGGAGGCCTGACCAGTGTCCCTAACTTCCTGCTTCCAGGTCTTGGGCCTGTGAAGACGATGGTGAGCTGCACCAGCTTGCTGCCCTTCACTCCTTCAGAAACCTGCTTTTTATTCGGATTCTCATTCTTTCTGCTTTGAAACATGTTTTCTAGCTTCCCACCCCGTGGCCAAGTTTTTGGATAATAATGGATCTTTGCTGCCCTCTGGTGGCCACTCCCTGCAATAGCTGCAGTGACTTTTTAAGGGCTGTGCGTGACAGCCTGAGGAAACCAGAGCCAACCCTCAAGATCAAGATTTTCCAGGGCTGGCAGAGGGCTTACAGCCCAATTAAAGGCAGCTGCTGGAGTCCAGAGCTCCTTGACGGGAAGGGGCAGTTCCACAGGGATTTGCCCAAGTAGGACAAAAATCCAGGCCTCTGTCTGCATTAACGCCGCTAAAATGTTCAGTTCCTTGACTGGGACTAAAGTTTGTCTGGAAATGAAGATGGCCCTTCCCTCTCTGCCTAGAAAACCCCAGGGTAGGAGGGCCAGGACTAGAACCTACCCTCCAACCCTTTTAAAGCAAAAGTTAACTGAGCACTTGTTTTGTGAACTGGTAGATGCCAAAGGGTGCAATGCAGGTGGATACAAAATAAGATATATAGTTCCTGTCCCCAACTCATAAATGCTACAAGCATAATAACCTAAGCACACATATAATTTAATGGACACCTTGCAAATCGCCTAAGGGCTATCATAGAAGTAGAAATAGCATGCTACAGGGCTGGTGGGGAAGGAGAGGCAACAACCACGGGAATCGGGGTTTCCTCAAAGTAGAGTCACTCAAGTTGGACTCTGAAAATGAGTAGAGCCTTACCTAGCAGACATGATACTAATAATTACATGTTGGGAGAGCTGTTTATGTGCCCAGCATAGTTAAGGATTGTGTAGCTACATCGGTTATTTAATCCAGCTCCATGGTATGAGATAGGCACTATTTTCTCTAGTCAATAGACAAGGAAACCAAGGCTCAAGGCCATGTATACAGCAAGGATTCATAGAAAACAGAAAGTAAAAGCAAAAGTGTTTGGGGCAAATTATTAGCATTACAATATAAGGTACCCCTGGTCAGGTGGCAGAAAGGAAGGGACAAGGGCATATGGAGGGGGTGGTTATGATGATCAAAAAGTACAGGAACCATCCTAGCCAGTTTGGCTCAATGGATAGAGTGTCCACCTGCAGACCAAAGGGTCCTCGGTTCAATTCCAGTCAAGGGCACATACCTTGGTGGCAGGCTCCTCCCTGGCCCAGACCCTGGTCAGGGCTCATGCAAGAGGCAACTAATAAATGTTTCTCTCACATCAATGTTTCTCGCTGTCTTTCCCTCTCTCTCCCACTCTTCCTAAAAATCAATGGGACAATATCCTTGGGTGAGGATTAACAAACAAACAAACAAAAATGTACAGGAACCCAAAAGGTGAAGGAATTAAGTACAAATTGGTAGTTACAGAATAGTCATGGGGATATAGAGTACAGCATAGGGAATATAGTCAATAATATTGTAATAACTATGTATGGTATCAGATAGGCACTAGTTTTATGGGGTGACCTACTTTAGTAAGTTATATAATGTCCAATCACTGGGTTACATACCTGAAACTAATATAACATTGTATGTCAACTGTAATTGAAAAATAAAAAATTATTTTAGAAAAGTACAGAAACCCTATGATAAGGTATTTGAAAGCCTCAAGTGAATTTAGACCTCACTCTCTGAATAATGAAACCCTTTGAGCTTTCAGATCAAAGGATTCTGCTCAGGATGCACTTTAGGCTAATTCAGATGCACTTTAGGCTCCTTCAGGGAGGAGGCAGATAAGAGGAAGAGAGATCTGAGTGCAGTCAGCGTTGTGCAGAGCGTGGGTCAGGCCAGTGGGCGATGTAGAGGGATAAATCCTAAAATCTCTACACAGAGAACCTGTTCAGATTGACTGGGGGGGGACAAAGAAGGTGCAGCTATCCTCGGTGGGAACCACTGTCTCCTCACACACTGAGCCCACCAACCTGCATCATCAAAGCCAGATCCAACTGGGGAGAGAGAGATTTCTGGTCTCCCATGGACTGGAAGTCTCATTCTCACCCTTCTATAGTTGTGCCAAACCTCTAAAACCAAAGCAAGGCAGTCTGTTCAGATTTCAGAGAAGAAATCTCGAAAACTGTTCTCAATGCCCACATCAAGTGAGGCATCTCAAGATCAAAAAGCCTGTCACAAGAAGACACCATACCGGTTTGATGCTGTGACCTGCCTCCCAAAGGTCAAGGAGAGTTTTATGTCATTTCCCAGCAGTCCCACCAAACCTGCTTGGGTCCAAACCCTGCAAGGGAAGTCAGCCCACCAGGGGCTTGGATTCCTGCTTCTGATTGGATTGCCACCGGACTGGCAGGCGCGCTGGCTCCCTCTCTCAGGAACCAGCCACAGCTGCTGGTCACTTGTCACACCCTATCCAGGAGGGGGCAGTTTGTCAGTGGTAAAGCAACAGATCCCCATCCTGTGACTAATGGTTTCCTAAGTTAGTAATGAGGAAAGGCTTGGGCTACCAGGACATGGTGCGGCTTCATACTTCCTATCCTAGATTAGGACAATTCCAGAGAGAGAGTTTATAGCAGGCATTCAGCAAGCATTTCTTTTTTTTCTTTTTTGGTTAATCATCACCCCAGGACATTTTTCCATTGATTTTTAGAGAGAGTGGAAGGGAGGGGGAAAGTCAGACATAAACATTGATGTGAGAGAGATACATTGATTGGTTGCCTCCTGCATGCCCCCTGACCAGGGCAGAGGATTGAGCCCACAACCCCAGGCATGTGCCCTGACCAGGAGTCAAACCATGACCTCCTGGTTCATAGGTTGATGCTCAACCACTGACCCACACCGGCCGGGTAATATTGTTTTTTGAGAAATGAAAGACTTACCACCCTTAGCAGACCAGACTTCTCACATCTGTCAGGGTAACTAAAGTTTCTTCTTACTGCGTCTTGCCCACCTCATGTACGTCTGATCCCTATGAAGAAAGCGTCGTCCTTGCCCTCTCGCTGAGCCACAGCATTTCTCCTGCCTGCTCAGTATACCTGCCTCCAGCCCAGTCCACAGGCTCTCTACCTGCTTTCACGCCTGGCTTTCCTTTCCTGTAGAAGTGAGGTGTTAATGATGGGGGTAGCAGGGGGTGAGATAAGGCATCCTCTCACATTTCTTTATGCCTCCAGAGAGAAAGGAACTTCTATTCCTCTCTCCACAGAGGTGAGAAGCCCCACACTGCGCAAGACACATCCAGCTTTTCATTCTGTGACCTTATTTGCACCTTTCTTTCCACTGGAGGAGTAACTACTCTGATTGGTCAGAGTCCAGGACATTCAGAGGGCCGAGTTTTATCAGGACTGTGCATGAGGTATGCTATGGTCCTGAACGGGTCCTGGTAAGTCCAGGCCTGTTCTCAAACCTGGCAGGAGGATTACAGTGGGAGGGAGTAAGAAACCCCCATTGTGCATCTATTTTTTAGTTCCCAGAATGACAGGGACCCCCGGGGAGGGGGAGGGTCTTATATTTCAACACTCTTTGAGGAGGCAACATCAGTGAATCCTGGGGCCTAACCGCCAGAAGCACCCCACTGCTCGGGAAAAGCACAGGCCCTAAAACTTAATGAAAGACGTGTGGCCTGAAACAAACAGGAGCCATCTTCACCGTCTCACTTTAACATAGTCATGTCTCTTACTTTACTAAGTCTCAAAATATATGGTTCCTTTTTACATACATACACAAACACTTTTAAACATAAATATCAAATTCAAGAAAATCTGATGGGAAGATAAATTTAGGAAGCCAACAGGATAGGAGAGAAGGCCAATCACCAGATTTTACAAATGATCATCTGAAATCCTTCTCTGGACATTCAACTTGATATGTTATCCTAAATATCCCATATCACATGGTCCGCAAGGTCTTCCGTTAGGATTCTGAAGCAATTAGTAGCCATACTTGTCATTAAGATGGGTCCTGCCATCTCCACTTTGACCTACATCAGAGTATAAAAAAAGAAAGGAAGACATTCAATTTTCCAAGGTCAGAAGGGAAAAGAAAAGACATCAGTGGACCAAAAAGTAAGACACAAAGCAAATAGTTTCTTTTGCTGTAGACATTTGACTTTTTGCATACAATTTCAAAATATGGTCCTCTTTTCACTTTACCCTAACATTAGCAGACAGAAGAGCATATGTGAATTTCTGTTAATTACTAATATATTAGAAACCCAACCACAGAAAAAGCAACCTGTGATGAGCATATGGGGAAACAAGAATCTTCTATACGGCCATAAAGATATATGTATGAATGTAAATGGCCACAATGTCTATAGAATTCGATTTATAATATCTTTAGCCCTAGCTGATTTGGCTCAGTGGATAGAGCATCAGCCTGCAGACTGAAGAATCCGGGTTCGATTCAGGTCAAGGGCACATGTCAGGGTTGCAGGCTCAATTCCCAGTGGCTGGTGTGCAGGAGGCAGCCAATCAATGATACTCTCTTATCATTGATGCTTCTATCTCTTTCTCCCTCTCCCTTCCTCTCTGAAATCAATAAAAGAAAAAAAATGTTCATAGCCTCTGATCCATCATGTAATTTTTATGAATATTTTTCTACACATGTAGCTCTGCACTTGTAAAATTACATGTTAGAGGTTACTTATTACAGAGTTGTTTGTAATGGCAAAAGAATGGAAACACAGCAAACATTCATTAAATAAATAAAGGTATATCCATACCATAAAAGAGAACTGTGCAAGCATACATACACACACCCCTACAAATAACTATGGAAAAGTCCCTATACAGTGATAAGTGCAAAAGAGCAAGGCACAGAATATGCTTCCAATTTTGTAAATTACATTGTTTGCCTTATCTGGAATAAGAAAAACATTTATATGAATAAGCATTCAAAGTGACATAATTAGAAAATATTTCATTGCAGGAAACCCCAAATAACACCCCTTTCTGCCTTATTTGGAAAACATCTCAACAACATTTTCTAATATAAATTTTGTATAGTATGAAAAGAAAGGGTTGATTAAAAGGATAAACTTGCCGAAACCGGTTTGGCTCAGGGGATAGAGCGTCGGCCTGCGGACTGAAAGGTCCGAGGTTCGATTCCGGTCAAGGGCATGTACCTGGGTTGTGGGCACATCCCCAGTAGGAGATGTGCAGAAGGCAGCTGATCGATGTTTCTCTCTTATCGATGTTTCTAACTCTCTCTCTCTCTCCCTTCCTCTCTGTAAAAAATCAATAAAATATATTTTTTAAAAAAGGATAAACTTATTTCTATGATATCCTACTTGAGAAAAAAGGCGAATATTCTTATTTTATTCTTGTGTTATTATTTATTAAATACTGTATTATTTATTTGTATTAAAATTGTAAACCTACTTTTGTCCAGCCCTATATATTACATATTCACACGTGTACATAACTAAATCTTAGAGGAAAAGAAAAGTAAAAACAATCTACCTTCAGGTGGGACCCACACACAGTAGTCTGGGTCATCTTCTGGATATGTGGAGGAAAGTGTTGGTGGAAGCTGGAAAGAAAAGATAGGTTTTTTTATTCAAATTTTTTTAACTCTAAGAATTATTGTCCTATGCCTGTCAGAACGTGCCCAGGTTATATGTTAGGTTTCTCTCTCCCTCTCCCTTTCTCTCTAAAATGTGTGTGTGTGTGTGTGTGTGTGTGTGTGTGTGTGTGTGTGTGTGTGTGTTTTTAAGAGAGAACAGCCCAGCCGGAGTGGCTCAGTGGTTGAGCATCAATCTATGAACCAGGAGGTCACTGTTCGATTCCAGGTCAGGGCACAAACCCAGATTGCAGGCTCAATCCCCACATGGGACATGGAGGAGGCAGCTGATCAATGATTCTCTCTCTTCATTGATGTTTCTATCTCTCCCTCTCCCTTCCTCACTGAAATCAATAAAAATCTATTTAAAAAAACAACAACAACAAAGAGAGTACAGTTCCCATTAATGATCTTGACATAAGTAATCAAAAAATGGGAGCATTCTCTCTCTGAACCTTATTTTTTTCCCTGTAAAGCATCAACGAGCTGATTTCAGAGAGAGTGAAGTGATGTTTTTTAAAAGGGGCAGTTAACACAGGTCTGAGTTCTTTCCTGTAGAGAAAACTTTGGCATTTGCCTTTTGATCTAAGTGCAGGAACAAATTAGCATAGCTGACTTGATGGTTATCCTTTGAAAGACCTGTTTGCAAGTTGGTCTTAGCTGGCATCTGGGAACTTGGATATCAGGAAGGTTCCTACTATCCTAACTGATAAGAGCGGCTCACTGTGCCTGAACTGTTAGTAAAAACAATGTGATTGATACTGAACACTTGCTTTCCTTCTGGGAGAATGGAATTTGGTACATGCCAGTCATGGGGTGAGCCTATGTGATCTCAGTCCTCAATAAAAACCCTGGATACTGAGTCTCTAATAAGGTTTCCTGGTTAGCAACATTTCACAAATTGTCACAACTCGTTGTCAGGGGAATTAAACACATCCTGTGTGACTCCACTGGAAAAGGACCTTAGTAATTTTGTGCCCCAGACTTCACCCGTGTACCTTTCCCTCTGCTGACTGTGCTTGGTATACACTTTTGCTGCAGTAAATCACGGCTGTGAGTACAACCACATGCTGAGTGCTGTGAGGCTTCTTGTGAATCACCTAGCCTGAGGGTGGTCTTAAGGACCTCCCCACTCAACCCAGCAATCTCATTTCTGGGAACCTACTATATCCATACAAAATTATGTATATACAAGATTATTTATAGCACTGCTGTAATAAAAGACTGGAAACAACACAGTGCCTGTCTACAGGGAGCTGGTTAAATAGAGTAGATTCATACAGTAGGAAACTCTTGGTGTACTCATAAACAGTGATTTCCATGATAGGTTAAAAAACAAACAAGATGTAGCCCTGGCCGGTGTTTCTCAATGGTTAGAGTGTCGGCCTGCACACCAAAGGGTTGCAGGCTCGATTCCCAGTTAAGGGCACATACTTGGATTGCAGGTTCGATCCCCGGTTGGGGTGCGTGCAAGAGGCAACCAAGTGATGTGTCTCTTTCACATCAGTTTCTCTCTCCTCTGTCTCTCTCTCCATCCCTCCCTCCTTTCCACTCTCTCTGAAAAGCAATGGAAACAATATCCTCAGGTGAGGATTAACAACAACAACAAAAATAAGATGCAGAATGCAGTACATTACATCCTACCTTCTGTGAAATATAAGGAGGAAAATAAGAATATATTACTCAAGTGACTTTGTATGGCATACTAGGATATGAAGATTCACAAATTAATAAAAGAAATATGTGAGCAATTCTAAGGAGCAGGGTAGATGGAGATAAGAATAGAGAACTCAAAAAGTAAACGCTCAAAAATAAAAATAGAGCCCAGGCTTCTAGAAGAGGGGATATAAGGCAGTTGGGAACTCTGCTAAGACAGTCCCTTAAGATTCATTTGTTTGGATGTGGTCCATGACAAGGGGATTCATTTTTACTTTCAGAGAAGTGAAGATTATGACTAAAGCACTTACTTTGCCTGGACCAGGAGCTTTCTTTTTCTTCAATTCATCTCTGTTTTTCCCATATTCATTCTTTGATACTAATTTAAGGAAAAGAGGGAAAAAAGAGGCAATAGCTATTTCAAAATAAATAGAAAAAACATTCTTTCCACGAGAGCATTATATTTATTGAAGAAAACATGTACCAATCAAATTCTCAAAAATTCCTTCTATTATTGTAAAGACTATATATTAAGATAATTTCCCCTTCACTAATAACCCTAGTTTTCAAATCCTAAAGCTATTCTACAAACTTGAATATAATCACTCCATTTGAATAGGTGAAGGAAAATGGAGCTGGCTTTACTTACCACAGTTTAACCATTACAGTTAAAAGCAGTAGAAAAACAGAAAAAAGTCCTTTGACTAGGCCAAACTGTCAACCGATTTCTTTTAGTAGTTTTGGAATCACTCCCATGATAGGCACGCATTCAATTCGGGGGAAAGTAAAATTGTGGAGGGCTTTGCATGGCCCGAGGAAAAGAAAGACAAATGGGATGGTATCAAACATAAACCTCTCATATCTTCCAATTCTCTCCGGCGCCCGGCAGCAGCATCCACCCAGCGTCTTAAAGGCCATTCTCTGTGCTGCCTCAGGTCAGCTGCCACCCCTCCTCTGGGACATCCGTTAGCTGCCTGTATGAAGAGCAGCAAAGGAGTCGGCTGTGCTACTTACCTGAGGGTTCCTCACGTGATGCAGCTGTTTCACTAATGTCTTGATCATCTTTATTCTGTTCCACTTGGCTGAGTTGAGACCTGTTTTCTATAAAATGCAAAACCAAAGTATATTGTTATTATTTAATTCCTGGTGGGGAACCTGGAAAACAAAAACAGAAGCAAGGAAAGCTAAATACACAATCATCCAGTTTTACTATCATTAGCTTCAACTAAAATTAAGTTTTCAATAAATGTGCCTCCAGATGTCTAACATAGAATCACCAATTTTCCACTTTAAAAACTGGCCACTTCTAAGATAAAACTTTTAGCAATACTTACCAAAGCCTTAAAAATGTACATATTCCTTGAAATGTACATATCCTAGAAATCCTACTTCCAGGAACATATTCAAAGAAAATAATCAGAGATGAGCACTAAGATGTTATTATATACAAGTATGTTTAAAATAGCCAAAATTAACAGATACCTTCCCTGTCTAACAGGGAGTTGATTAAATACGTTACAGCACATGCATGTAATGGGCCACTATGTCCCTTATTGAACCACATTTTTAAAGTATATTTTAAAACACAGGTTATAAAATAGCATGTACAATATGATCCCAATGTTGTTAAACAAACAAATAAAAAGGCCTAAAGTAATTCTAACAGCTACAGATTTACTAATTAATGTATCTTATAAACCAAACTTAAAGTTTGCTATTTTTACACACACATATTTGCTTTGGTCCTTTAAACAGACATACAAAAAAAAATACAAAAGTACAATACTAACTTTTCCCCTTTCTGCTGTATGGATCCAAGACCAGAGTTACAAAAAGTAAATATAAGAACCATTTTTGAAAAGCCTAAGCATTTTGCCAATAACTAAAGGAGAATGGAAAAAAAAAAAAAAGATTTACCTCTCTCAGAGAAGGAAATGGTAATTTTTTAAACAACTGAAGGTGATTCAAGAGAAGGTCTCCATACCAGGCCTGGTGTTTTATGAAGACAAGACATGCACACACTCTCACACACATTTAATGCCAGTTCTTCCCCGCCAGCCCCCCCGCCCCCTTGCTCCCTATTTTCTGTGCAGACTCAATCTTGGTAAGCAGTTTGACCAACCTGTAGGAAAATAACCCTGCAGTGGACCAGGGATAAGAGGATACTAAAAAGATAAACAATCATCTTTCGGGATGGGATCATGGGCGTTTTCTATTTTCTTCTTTGGCCTTTCATGTATGATTCAGTTTCTAAGTGAGCATAAATGCCTTTTACAACTGAAGAAAATACTTTTAAAAACCAATCAATTCCCTTTTTCTTCAAACTTTGCTGTGGTGGGTAAATGCTATATGCAGGTTCTCTGCTAGGCACCATGGACAAAAAAATGAATGTCATGATGCTTCCCGAGAAGTATGTCCAGTGGGTATAATTATGCTTAGCATCTGCTTTAGGATGGGTGACAAATGAGTAAGGGGAGGCTTGTCTTGAGACCACCTGACCAGGACTCACCATCTACCATATTCCACTGCTCTCCAATCATATAGTGGCAACAGCTCAGGACTGACCACAGTAGCCAGAGTTTCAGATTCTATAGTTTTGAATTTTCCATAATTGAACAGACTGAACATACCTGCCCTTATTTTGCAATGAGGATAAGAAATGACTGGCAGTTACTGGTACTGGCACAAGAATAGGCATATAGATCAATGGAATAGAATAGAGAGCCCAGAAATCGGCCCGAACCAATATGCTCAATTAATATTTGACAAAGGAGGCAAGAACATACAATGGAGCCAAGATAGTCTCTTCAATAAATGGTGTTGGGAAAATTGGATAGATATATGCAAGAAAATGAAACTAGACCACCAACTTACACCATATACAAAAATAAACTCAAAATGGATAAAGGACTTAAATGTACGACAGGA